CAATCTACATATATAAAAGCCTAGTGACAGGAACAGTGGAACGACTGGAACGACCAGTTGCTATGACATGCACTGCAGTGGCCAACCAGCCTGATCCAGGACCTGATCAGCTTCCCTCAACCCCCCTCGGCATCTCCCCCTACCAGCCCCACCCCCGATTGGCCCCCTCACCCCAATCAGAGGTGGGGCCAGCCGGACAACCTCCCACGGCTCCTCCCTCCTGCTGACTGGCCCTCACATAGGCCCGGATCAGGGAGCTGGCCAGCCAACCTCCCAGAACATATCTCCAGCAGGCCCCCGATAGGCCTCGATCACTGGCCAGGCCGAGGGACCCCTCCCGTGCACAAATTTGTGCACCAGACCTCTAGTTTTTAAATAAAGGTTAGAGACTAGATTAATTAAATGTCTGTTAATTTATCCAAAATCAAAGAAGGAATGAAGGAATTGAAAAATAATATAAAAACATGTAAAATACCATAACAAATTTGATTTTTAAAATATAACATAAGAGGAAATATCCATATTGTTATTCTGAACTAGAATGTAATTGCTATACCAATTAAGAGGTCCATTTTTATAATATCGTAAGTCGTTTGGGTATGATATTTTTATTGTCATTGTTTTCTTATGACCACAGATCATTGTCCAAGATTTTTAATTCTTTAATTTTTAATAAAATATAAAGTATTGAAAGAGTTTTCAAAAATTTATTGCATTTATAAAAGCTTGTTTAGGTTCCCAATTTTTATGTAATTTGTGTGAATACCTCTCTCCTCTGCATATACATAGGTTATTCACTCATTTATATTTCTAACCAGATAGCAAACATTCTTTCGTAAATTCAAAATATATATCCATCTATGTTTTTCAGGGTTTTACCTCTTTGATAAAAGTTCCAATTTAAGCCCTAACCGGTTTGGCTTAGTGGATAGAGCATCGGCCTGCGGACTGAGGGGTCCCAGGTTCAATTCCGGTCAAGGGCATGTACCTTGGTTGCGGGCACATCCCCAGTGGGGGGTGTGCAGGAGGCAGCTGATCGATATTTCTCTCTCATCGGTGTTTCTAACTCTCTATCCTTCTCCCGTCCTCTCTGTTAAAAAATCAATAAAATATATTTTTTTAAAAAGTTCCAATTTAAAATTTGTTTCAGAAGATAACAATTCTGTGTGGTCATCATCATGGATTTATTATTTCATCAAATGTTTATCAATCACCTTCTTTTTATTAAGATTCTGTGCTAAGCATTGGACTGAACAAGATGAAGTCTTTGCCCAACAGAACTTCAAGTCTAGTGGAGGAGGCAATCAGTTTTTCTTTTTAATCATAAATCATTTGGATACTATATTTTTGTTGTCATTGTTTTCAATAATCAAAGCAACAAAAATATAATACAAGATGAGATAGCAATAAGTGCTATCTGAAGAAACCTAAAATAGGGCTTCAATTTCAGAAAGGGAAGGCTTTAGTGTAGAGGTAATATTTGAGCAAAGATGCAAAGAATATGAGATAAGCCATGTAGATATGAAAAAGAGAATTCTAGACATAGGAAAAACACAGACTGGCCTAAAATAGGATCATACCTAGGGGTTTGAAGAACAGCAAAGAGACCATTGGGCATAGAATGGAATTAGCCAGGGGGTGAATAACAGTAGATGATAGGAGTGGAGTGATTAAGATCCTTTTTGACCTTGGAAATGGGAAGTTATCTGAAATAGGAAGCAACTGGAAAGTTTTCAGGACAGAGCAATGCAATCTGACCCGAGACAATGTTTCAGTCATATGACAGTGATGTAGCTGCTCAAAGTCAGAGGACTTTGGATATGTTTTGAAAGTCAAGTCAGCTGGATTTGCTGTGGAATTAGATGTGAAGTGTAACTAAAGAAAGAATCAATATTGACTTCAAGGCTTTGGCTGGGACATGTTATGTTTGAGATGCCTATTGGATTTCTAAGTGGAGATGTTAAGGTATTTGGGTATCTACGCCTGGGATTTAGAGAAAAGGTATAGACTGGAAGTATAATTCAACAGAGAGGTGGTATTTAGGTACTGAAATGAATGAGATAACCAAGAGAGTGAGTACAAAGATGCAGGGAAAGAGTCCTGACCCCCTTTAACATCTAGAGGTATAGGATGTGGAAAGAAAGCAGTGAAACAGACAGAAAAAATTACTGGTGAGGGAGAATCAAAATCAAGAGGATGTAGAATCCTTGATGTCAAATAGAGGGAAAAGTTTTTCAAAGAATAAAAATGGGCATATCACTATCGATCTTATAGATGTTAGAATTTAACCAGTATACATGACTAATTTTTGGTATGATAATTTAGATGAAATATTTAAACTCCTTGAAAAGTATTACTTATCACCATACAAAGAAGAAATAAGAAACCTGGAAAGGTTTATATCCATTATAGACTTAAATCTATAATTAAAATCTTTCTCTCAAAGAGAACTCCAAGTCCTGATGACTTCCAGGGTTAATTCTTCCAAATATTTAAGGAAAATATAGCATCAATAACTCCCATATAAAATTTTTTCAAGATAATAGGAAGTTATTTCATAAGGCTAGCATCACCTTTATATAAAAACTGATAAGGGTACTACAAAAAAAAAAAAGAGGAAAGTTATAGGCCAATCTCATCTCTGAACACAGATGATACACTCCTAAGCAAGTTAGTGGCAAATCGAATCAGGCAGGTATGAAATGGGTAATAAATACCATCCAAATTAGATCTATGTAAGGCATTCAAGTTTGGTCTACCATGTGAAAAATAATCAATGAACAAATGATGTCAAATAAAACAAACGTATGCTTTTCTCAATAAACAGAGACAAAGTCTTTGAAAAAATTCATTCATAATAAAATTTCCTAGTAATCTAGGAATAGAAGGGAACAACTATCATTGGCTTATGGGTATTTAGAGGACAAAAAACCCTACAGCAAACTTCACACTTGAAGGTAAAATATTCAACTATACCCACTGAGAGCAGAAGCAATGCAAAAAGATTCTGCTAGCCACCAAAGTTATTCATCACTATACAGGATGTCCTAGCCAGCTTGATAGGGCCAGATTAAAATATAGAGGGTCTTAAAAATTGGGAAAAAAGAAAAAAATTCATTCTTCACAAAAAACATCATTGTGTAGGTAAAAAATCCAAAATAGTCTACAGATATACTTAAATATCAGTATGCGATTTTAGCAAGCTCATTGAATACAAATCAACATAAAATGCATTTGCATTTCTACATCTTAACAATAATTAGATAATAAAATATAAAAATACTATTTATAATAGCCTCAAAAACATCAAATAATAGGAATCCATTTAATAAGACGATTATAGTAGTTAGTATTCTCCATAGAAACAGAATTAATAAGATATACATGTATATGTATGTAAATATAGGGTGTCTCCAAAAATGTACAGTGTATACACACACTTTCAATAATTGTAAAGGCAGAGTTTATTAAAATACATTTCATTTTCAAAATTGAGCTATCAGCTGTTAAAGTGTGTATACATTATTTTGAAATTCCCTGTATATATGACATCTGAAACAACCATTGGCCACAAAATGGCTAATAAGTTGAAGTATAGTCAAACAATGGAATAATACACAGTTATGAAAAATACTACACACCACAATATAGAATCTTCTCACAGGAATAATGTTGAGTTTAAGAAGACAGATGCAAAAGAGTACATACAATATGATTTCATGTTCTATTGTATGAACTAGGGGGTAGTCACATAGAACTAATGATGCTTGTCCATAAAACTGTACTGTTTATGTAAAGTGCACTTTATCTGATCTTAGTGATTCAACAATTCATGACAGTGTCCTTTTATCCTGATAATTTGCTATGTATAAGCATGTGAAAAATATAGTTTTATATTTAGCCAGCATTTATTTTTTTAATCTAAATGAAACATCTTTTCCACACTAGGAATCCTTCCAAGTGACAGAAATTTTAAGGAAAGCAAAGTGTTAACATTTACAAAGCTTTGCTGGGGTTTATAACTTATTCTGGCCTATGACACTTTCAAAGAAAGGCATGTATTTCAAGCAGGGGAGAGGAGCAAAGATCTTCCAAGTGGTTTGTCCTTTAATATAGAAAGAATCTTCAAGAAACAAAGTTAGGAGACAACTTCCTACTCAGTGGGATGAGTGCCATGAAGCTGACTAAGCAGTGATAAATGTAGGTAGATCGTCTTCACCTTGGCAATGCCATGCTCCCTACACAGAGATTCATTATGTTTCAGGGTGGACATTAGAAGGCGCAACACTGTGAACTTGGTTGCCAGGAGAGAAGGGTGTCGCCATGGGTTTCTCTCATGCTTGGCCATCTGACCAGTTTAGTCTGAAATTTCGGGGCATTGGCTCCTATCAGGGAAGAAATAGGATTAGAATGATGACTCAGGGAACAAAGAGACAAGTCTTTGTTTTATTGTCCCTTTTCAAAAAATCCTCAGTGCTCTCTTTCTCACCCACAAATTGCCTTCAAAATAAAGATACAATTTCTAAGCCTGGGAGTCAAGGTCCATTCAAGCTGGCTCCATGCTCCTTGTGAACATTAACATTGTCTTGTCCTGGTCCTGAGCCACCACCCTGTGCTCCAAGCAGGGGTCCCCTGCACACTTTCTTGAACCCATCATACCCTTCTCTGCTTTGGAGCACTTCCTGCTCATGTTGGCTGCTGCCTGAAGCACTCCGCTCTTCCCCTTCTCCACTTCTTGAGGGTCGTGGTTATATATTCCTTGTTTTGTCCACAGAGATGAGCAGAGAGTCAGATATAGACAACTCCCATAGGTTAATAGCTATGATACACTTTTAGAGAGATGAGATCTACTTAAAGATATTAAAGAAAATACACTGAGTGGCCAGATTATTATGACCACCCCATCAGTACAATGAAGTGAATTACTTATGCAAATAATCTACACCAGGGGTCCTCAAACTATGGCCCTCAGGCCACATGCGGCCCACTGAAAACATTTATCCAGCCTGCTGGGTGTTTTTGCCGCTGCAGTGTGGTATAGGAATTTGTTCATAGTTTTTTTTAAATTATAGTCCGGCCCTCCAACGGTCTGAGGGATAGTGAACTGGCCCCCTGTTTAAAAAGTTTGAGGACCTCTGATCTACACTAATAAAAGAGAAACATGCAAATTGGTTTTCACTCCGCTACACCAACCATCCAATCAGAATGAGTATGCAAATTAACCCAACAAAGATGTCAGGTTAATTTGCATAGGCAGGCATTGAGGGAAGACTGAAGAGGCTTGGCTTCTCCGCTATGGCCAGAGTGAAGGCCTGGGTCCCAGGTACCGGAGGAAAACCGGTGCCGGCAGCCAGGGGAAGGAAGGGCTATTGCACTAATCTCTTCATGCAACGGGCCTCTAGTAATAATAATAAAACCTTGACAGTATTTTCTTAGGAAGTTTTCAATATTCAGTATTTTTGGAAGTGTCAATGAAGTACTGATGGGGTGGTCATAATAATCTGGCCACTCAGTGTATATTTTAAAGTCTTAAGCAGATGAAATAATATCAAAGTGAATAAAATAAAGAATGTAAGTTCTTCTTCTCTGTGGACATCCCATAAGGTAGACCAATGTTTTTCCTCCCAGACATTAGTCTACCTGCAGAGAACTAAAGTTTTTCTCCCCAAAGATGGCATTACATTATGTACTCTGTTGTGCAACTTTAAAAGTTTATCTTTCACTTACTATTTCTTGAACCTTTTCCCATGTCAGGACAGATAGATGACTTAAAAAAAATCAGTCAGAGAAAAGTCTTAAGGATGTTTTTCCCTGCCCAGAAGAGGCCCTGCCACCTGTACCAGAGCTGCCAGTAAAACGGAGGGAATTGAGCAAAGTAGGACCCAGGGCATTTCTCACTATAGGTCATCTTCCTTGGCACCTTCCCGATCACTATGGACCTGCTCCTACAGAGGGACACTCCTAGCCCAGCGCCTCTGTAGGGAGGATCACCTGTAGAAAAGAGAACCAGAGTCAGGATTGGGGTCCCGCTACCTGAAGAAGGAAAATTCCTAGTCAGTGAACACAGCCATGGGCAGAATTGGGGCATCCTTCTCACCATCATTCCCTTTCCCTTCCTTCCTTCCATAGGCTCAGTGGTTTGTCTTTTGAGAGTTACTTCATAATTACTGTTCCTTTATCCAACCCCCGCTCTGCCAGCATCTCTTATCTCTCCCACTTCCAGAGACCTTGCCCTTCATCCTCTCCTACCCGCCCCCGTATTCTCTTGGTCCCGAGGATAATTTGGAAACCATTGGGATCACAAGAACATGATTCAGCTCTCCGGTGACCTGACGACGAACTTTACCTGCTCCCTCAGGTTGGAGTCCCAGGTCAGAGTAGGGAGCTGTCCTGAAATGGCCCTGATGCTCAGCCAAGATGCACCCCACCTCCCGCGCGCAGCCAGTCCCAGGAGAGCAGAAGACACTACAGATTGCGCAAGGGAGCATCATGAGGCCAGGCGCCCAGCCAGGGAAAAACTAACCCCCCAAACCGAACCTCCAACCCGGCGTCCCTTCCATTCTAAAACGTACGCTCACTCCCCGTTAACAGAAGTCAGCGCACCCCAGCCCCAGTGCGCCTCTCCATCCTGAAGTTGCCCCTAATTGCACCCCATTCTCCTCCCCACGCCACTCAAGGGCCTCCGTGTCTTCTCAGCACTCTCTGCCTTCAGAATCCGCCTTCCGGGCTTTCGTTTCTGCTGAACCAAACAGAGGCCCTTGCGCGTTACTAGGCGTTTGTCTGCACAACAACCTGGCGGTGCTTTCTTCCAAGCCCGGGAGGCTCCAACCCAGTCCCGAGGGGGCTGGGCGGTCCCTGCACGGGAAGGCCCCCTCTGGGCGCCTGGGCTGGTGCCTAAGGGTTGCAGGAGGAGGGAGAGGCGATTGGGCCTGGCGCCACCTCTTCCCCCGCCCTCCTGGACCTCCCTCCGGCCCCCAGGGACTCCTCCCAGGCCCCGCACTTGAAAGGCAGGGGCTGGACCACGCCCTGGCACCAAGCACTGGGCCCCAAGGTTCAGGGTCTCAGTCCACTGCAGAGCCGACCACTGGCGCGATGGTGGCAGTCTGGCTGGTGCACGTCGGGCAGAAGCTGCTGCTCTGGGGCGCGCTCAGCGCCGTCTCCCTGGCGGGCGCCACCCTCACCCTGAGCTTCCTGCAGATGATGGCGAGCTATGCGCATAACTGGCTGCAAATGAGGCCCATCCCCAGCATTTCGGGTGCCTACCCCTTCCTGGGACACTCGCTGATCCTGAAACAAGGAGGGGAAGGTAAGGGACTGCGCGCCTATGCTGGCCGCATCCCCACCAAGACCTGTTGGGCCCTTTGCAGGGAACCGCCCGCTTACCCGCCTGGAGCACCAGGACTGGAGATGCAGGCTGCTGGGTGAGGGGCGACTCTACCACCCCCTGGATAATGGGTTCCCAGTTCTCTCCAGTTTTCATTACACATAAGTGCAGTGTTTCTAAACTCCCGTCCTTCTGCCTTTTCTCTTCTCATTTTCCCAACTCCCGGCTGCTGCTATATTAAAACACTGCCTGTAACCTTAGCTGGCTTGGCTCAGTGGATAGAGCTTTGGCCTGTGAACTGAAGATTAGTGGGTTTGATTCAGGTTAAGGGCATATGCTTGGTTGCAGGCTGGATCCCCACTGGGTGGCCTGCAGGAGGCAGTTCATCAATGATTCTCTCTCATTGATGTTTCTAGCTCTCTCCCTTCCTCTCTAAAATCAATAAAAATATATTTAATAAGAAAACAACAACAAAAACCCCACCTGGTTTTTCTTCTGTCTTTACTGTTAAAGTCCTAAAGGCAGACACAACTTATAACTTAGTCAGCCTCTCTCTCTCTCTCTCTCTCTCTCTCTCCAAAATAAGGGGCAAGAAGTGCACTTGAGACCAGAGCCTCTCACTTCAGAAATCACAAGACTTGACCACAACTTTCATTCCTCCTTGGCCCTTCAAAGAAGGTTACATACCAACATGAATTATGATGTTATTCACCAAGGCCTGCCCCAAAAGTCATACAGCAAGTTTCAGAAATCTTATTTGTTAAAGAGTTTATTGTTTTTTATTGAAACCATCTTTTGAAGAGATAATTTTATGTTTTGTTATGATAGGGATAGAGGGATCACTTTAAGTTAGAAAGCTCCTAGAAGTCCCTGATGTTTGCATCCCCCATGAGGGAGGGTGAGTTAGATCTTAGCCCTTCATCTTCATGGCTGAATAAGTTGAGATACCCAGAACTGAAAAGATTTGCCCCAAATGACATATTTTAAAATGAGCCCAGAACTAGAATCCAATCACCCCTCAGTTTAATTGAAGACG